TGTCTCATAGAGGAGGCAATTGGAAGGTTTATGTGAAACAATCGATTTAGGGTGAGTTTGCTCCCTTGGTTATTTCAGCAGTATTTCCTACAATTTCAGAAGATGAAACAATAACAATGAAGAATATAGACAGTTAGGATGAATATATGACCTAGGACAGCCTTGACAAGACAATATATTTATGAAATGCTCTCAGCCCCATTAATAGCTAATATTCAGAACATGGGGTCAGCCATTTTTCTTACCCACCCTATCAAGTGGGTCAGGTATTTCCCTTTCTCAAGAATGAGGCCTGAACCAGATGACTTCTCCTCCACCTCATTCTGGGAACCAGGAACTGGTCCCTCCTGGACCAAGATAATGACATCCAGGCTACTTCCCCATAACTAAGCCCCATTGGAAAAATCCGACCAAAGGTCATACTCAGAGGAGTTTGATGCCAACATATGTCCACATGCATGTCTTGGAATGTATATTCTGTGAGGATTACCTAGAAATATGAATTAACTATTTGTAAACTGTAAAGTCATGATAATGTTACTCACAAATATTTAATCATGTGCATAACCATATTTGCTAGTGGAAACAGGAGACAAAAGGTTCAAGTTGTGTTTTGAGATGTTTGATTAAAATCTCATTTATAAACTATATTACTTTGATTAATACAGAAACTCACACTGTCAAAGTGCAGATACAGTCAGTGGCATACACAGCCATCAATGGGCTATCTATATCATACCTCTTTCCAAGACTTGGGCTTTATGCTAGCATCTTATAATACTGGGAACCTCATTAATCTCTCATGTGACATAGTAAGTTATGAAGTATAAGATATACTTTTCCTCCACATCCCATTCCCGTCACAAGATTTAACTAAACATAAATGGGAAACAGTTACACCTCCAAGAACTTGACTGTACAGCTATGTCCACCTGTCCTCTGATCTGCCTGTTCACAGATCCTAGTTTTGACCTTAGTCCACACAGAAGCTTGTCTCCTAAAGCACTTCTTTCCCCTTCAGTACTGACAGATGTCTCCTTACCTTGAGCACAGCATGGTACCTGTGGGAGCCCGTTCTGGGGTTCCTCGTGGCTTTACCCAGCAGGTCCAAATAGAGGATGATCAGGACCACGGGCCTGAGTGCAGGTGTCTGAGATGGTCTGCACTTGGCTGTGCTGGGGGAGGAGGTCTTTTGCTCCACCCCTTGGC